ATCAGTACATCACCGGTCGGAATTCCCAACAGAAATTCACTGCTAATTTTCATTCAACACTTCTTTTTGGCCATTACTATTGGAAGTCCAGCATCAGATATTAAATGAATAAAGCATATTAAAGATATAGTGCAAATAAAAAACTGGCATGATGGACTTCAAGATTCAAGCTGCTTCTTTTGCAACGCAAAATCTCCGCCTGCTCCCTTCAGTCTGTATGTAACTTACAGAGCAATTAACTAGGGTATAAGAGAACAGCCACAGCTTGATATGGTGCCTAACCAACAGAGATACAGGATCAGACTTGCATCATTATTTGGGTAACGTCTTAAGAAAATAGAACGTTACCATTGTGGTGTTGAGTGTATTCAAGCATTGTTTTGTTCAACATTTAACTTAACAAGAAATTGCAATAAGAGGAACGATCCACCAATTTTTGTTTTAAACATATTTCTAACTCGACCTGGTTCGAAGCTCACCTCACAGGGTGGATGGGTTGACCCGCATGTTGGTTGGTCAACCCAAGTTTTATTTTATGTTTGAAATCTCTAAAACGACTTTGTTTTGGTAAGAAAAAACCTTGTTCAACGTAAAACCTGGCTTGAAAAAAATCCCATATAAACCTGTCATCGAGCTGACCTGCTAGGCCAGGTTGAGTTTTATAAGAATGGTTTCAAAGGAGGGCAATTTGTCCTCCCCCAGATTGTATCATAACAAAAACCCAGAAGGTTTATCAGCTGTCATTTTTGTTTGATGTACAGAGGCCAAACTGGCCTATCTGTTAGTATCATTAGCCCATATAATCAGGAATGAAGAAATATAATTAGGAAATCTACTACGAGCAAGACTTTTAGCACTTCGATATTGAAGATTAGAATCCTTCCATCTGAAAAAAAGAGCAAAGCACAGTGAATGATTTAACATGCCTGTGAAAGGTCAAGACAGGTAGTAGGATCAAGAGACTCTCATGAACCCTTTGTGCCTGTGAAAAAAGTTTAAAACCTACTACCAAGAAGACTCTGAACCAGTTGAAATTGAACAGTAGAATACAGCAGTAAGTGAATTGACTTGCACAAAAGCTAAAAATGGACGGGGGTGATAAAGTGAATTGACCTATGTGTGGGTAAGTCAGGTATCAAGGAAAAGAGGCTGTCTATTCCAGTCCCTCCTCTGTATGTGAGGAGAGAGCAGGTTCAATTGGCTTTCAATAAAGAAGCCCTGCTGGTGGATTAAAAATGAGACAGAAAGAAGAGGAGAGGTTTTGAAGAATAGAACTTGTGGGCAAACATTACCACATGTTCAAATGATAGAAGTCAACAACATCATCCAGCGTCAAAAACATAAGCAAGAGACAGCAAATATCATGTAAAAAACTGAGGCAGTTTCCTTTGAATTTCACATCCCTTAAAGCCTTTTTGTTTAAGCCACGAACATTTTGTATTCTACAGGTAGCAGGATTAACAATTCAAAATATATAGGTTTTGGGTTCAAATGCCATTCAACACACGTTGCCCTTTGTATAGTCATTCAGGCCTTGTAAAATAACTTAAACTCTGAAGTTATTATTATTATTTTTTTTACCGTATAGTATTAGAATTTAAAAGTTTAAATTTTACCATAGTATTAGAATTTAAAAGTTTAAATTTTATTATTTTTATTTTTTAATTAAATTAATAAAAAAATGCAAAGGACTTCAGTGGATTAAAGAGTAATAGCTCTTGAGTTTTTTGAGAAACTTACCTCCCCGTATATGATTAAATATGAAATTTATGATTAAATATAAAATTTCTATTAATATCGAGGGATATAGCTTAACTGGTTAGATTATAAATTTATTTTCTAAATATTACTAGTTTAAGTTCCACAAATCAAAAATACTGAAGATTTATATAGTTATTAATTTTAGTCAAGAATACTGAAGATTTATATAGTCATTAATTTTAAAACCTGTAAGATTAATCAAGATACACAAAAACTAGATAGAAAATTCATGCATGTTAATTAAAAAAAATATAAAACATATATCTATATCTAAATCAAGAAACTAGGATTGCGTTTTTTTCAAAAATCTGTTTCAATTGATGGGAGAGTCGGTACAATGGATAAGTCAGCAGGTGAATTAAGATTGGAACACCGTTAAGAGCCAGTTGCCATGTTAACAGACAAAATCAGGAATTAGTGATACCTAAAGAAGTGGTTTAATCAAAATTAACATTGTTTCGCAGCTAAATATAATAAAACATAACTACTGCAGCTACTGAACATAAACCAACAACTGAATGGTGCTGGCTAGCTAACGAGGAGGGATATGCTTCTGAATTCTCTTGCTACGTCTGTCATTGTTGGCCTATCTTCTGCTTCCTTGCTCATGCAACTATGAGCAAGTTTTGCAATAGCTTGCAGTTGTTGCTCCTCGATATCTCTTCTCTCGAAATTGCAGAATCTACAATCTCAATCATTTGTTGATTGTCGATAAGATCATAGACACGATCTCTCGATAAGATCGTTGACACGATTGTCGATAAGATCATAGACACGATCTCGTAAGAAATGAAACACATCACCAGCTTCACAATAAAACCATTTTCGCGCGCCTTGTCAAAACCTGGAGAAGAAACATACCAAAACTGAAAGCATCAAATTTCTCAGTTATATATGCCAACTGTAGCAAAACATTCAGGTGCCAAGCAACTCATCTTCCCACGAAGGATGTTGGAGTGAAAATTAGTGTGGTAAGAGTTTATGAAAAACAAAATTAAAGAACAAGAATAACATTTGAGAGGAATAAATGTTTCATATTAATTGTTTTCTCATTAATATATTTTTTTTCTCTGTTGCATTTATGCTCTATACTTTTTATTACAAGTTTATTTATGGATTTAAAATTTTAGACAATCAAAAATTAAATTAATCAAAGAAAAATCTATTTTGAGCAGGAAAAGTAATTTTACCGACTTAATTATTTGACGGTTTATAAAATAGTTGACCGGTTCATTTAATTTAACCAGCACACCAGTTTCTCTGTTTTTTAAAAAACCTAGAAATCTAGTTTATTTTCAACAAAAGATGTCTTCTACGTGGGATTGACTACCAGAAAATACGTATAGCAAGTGAAAAATCTGTCAGTTTGGCAACTCGATTATGATCCGTTATAATGTTTGCAGGTCTGATATATCTCGGTGTTTAACAGGCCTGGAAAGTGCAGTATGGAGACAAGCAAGTGCACAAGCAATATCTGCTTGTGATTTTTATCCTACATTTCCATGATAATGGCCGAGGCTGTATCTCATTCGTAGAAGAGATGTAGTAGGGGAGCGTCTCACTGCCTACAAATTCATACACCAAAATGGGATGTTCAGTGGCAAAGCAGCATCCTATGAGCTTTAGGACATTGCTGTGCGTACTCATTTGTGTCCCTGTGACAATGTCAAGGAAAGGTGATCCCTCAAATTCCTGCGATCGTAGCGGGACATTATAATTTTTTAACAGAAACTGGATGGTCTTCCAAATAGCTAGCCTTTGTACACTATGTAATCAACATCTCTTTGTATTATTTGTTCATAGTCATATTTGTTTGTTGCTTTCCTGATCACTTTTGCAGGGAAGGTACGGATAGGATTATACTTGCCATCACAAGAAGTGATGAGCTCCTCCAACAAGATTCTCCCATTCTTCATGAAGCGTGTCTCCTCTTTGGTAATTCTTTTCATCATTTTTAAACATGAAGCCATCTTACCTGCATGCCTAGCAAACCACAAACATATCACCTAGCTAGGTACACATGGATGGTTGTTGCTTCCTATATATCTACTTTTGAACATTAAGATGCGTTTAGTTTGGTTAGTGTCTCATGAGAGAAAATACATAATATATATATAACAAAAACAAAAACATAAGAGATGGAAATAGAAACAAAAAATAATTAAACCAGAACCGAACGCTTGCCCCTACCGGTAATAGCCATTTCCTTACCGTACAGCACAACTTATTACAAGGCTCATTGATACATATCCTAAGAAATCAGAGAGGGAAAGGAGGACAGCCATCTACATGGTGCAGAAAACTTCCATAAAGCCAACTAATTTAAGGACATTAATACTCCATAACAACAAAAACCAAAGAAAAAAGATATGCAATTCAACAATACAAACTTAAATTTATTACATTATGTGTTATTGTGACAATTGGCCCTTTCGGGAATTTATTACATTGTGTTATTGTGACAATTGGCCCTTTCGGGAGGATCATGTTCTTGTTGATCCCAAGCCACTGATATTACTAGCTAAGAAGTGAAGGCCATGATATCTGGATCTTGTTGGAGCTGAATCATGTCCTTTTCATCTAAGTTCAACCAAGCTTCAATTCCATCACCAGATTTAGTATCATTCAGAATAGTTAATTCTATATTTGGCGGCACAAGACTCACCCATGCAGGCTTTCCCCAGCCAAAGTTGACTTCATACAAGCCCATCCTACACCAGCTTGTGAACCTGAATATACCTACCTCGCTTTTGTTCAATTCTTCGAACATCTCTGCAAAAGAATTAGTCACCACTCAAAACATTTCAGCAATGTTTATGGCCTTTACGCATTCCGAACTGGCTCTTCTCTTAGCATCTCCTATCAAACTCACAAGCTCACTCAACACGAGTTTGCTCTGATTTTTTGCATCGAACCGAGCTAAGATAGGCCTGCAAAGGTTTCCACATTGATTATCTAGCGGGACACCAACTTTTCCTCTCAAATTGAAAGGCAGACTCATTGAAGAAGACCTGAGGTATCCATGCTTCTCTTTGGCCACACTGATAAGAGCTTTCCATATAAGTGCTGAGACCACCTACACACGCGAAGGGTGATGCTTGACTCCAGAATCAGCACCGCTAATTACTTCAGATTTCAGTTTCTCTATTGCTTCCCTGTCAAACCGAAATATTTTCGAGACAATTTTCTTACTAGCCATGTGAGGTGGAGGTACTGGAAACCTGAGCCTGCTGGAATCCGGGAAGTTGAATGGTGAAACGAAGGTTTGAGGAGTAACTTTACTAATCCCTTGATCATGAAAATGAGTTGTAGCCCATGCATTGATAAATCTTGACATGGTCCATCTACCAGCTATCCTGTGCGAATTGAGCACACCGATTGCTAGCCCTCCACACTTGAAAATGTTAACTTGAATAGCCAATAAAGGACTAGTGGCAGATTCTGCTAAAGAAGGAACAAAACGACGAAGCAGCTCGTATGGTTTGGGCTCTTGCTGGAGAATTTGACTGAGGTCTCCATCAGCTTTAGCTTCCAAGAATTCTACCCCAACATCATTACAATCAACTATGAGTTTGTCTTTGATGAATCTTCCTGCTAGAGGGTAAAAGAGCGTTAAGACTTCTAACAATGATTTCTCTAGCTGCTCAACTAGGTTCTGTGTGTTGATGTTCTCTATTTCGTGGTTGGCATTGGTGTAGTAGAAAATATTGGGTACATAATATGGATACTGATCAAGAATCGAAAGTTTCAGAATTTGAAGGTGAGGAGGCGTTTGAACTGATGGCTTGATGAGCTTTCTTGATGTGATTTGAACCTCCATTGTTAACTGTCTGTAGTAATATATAGGGGAACAATGTAATGGGTTGGTGTTTGGACTCTGGGAAAAGGGAAGCTTTAGTTCGAAATTGAAGTCATGAAATCATCGTTTGGAGTATTGCAAAAATGGTGGATATACAGATATTTATAGCGGGGTCAGCATGCAGGTGTAGAAACGACTGATAAGGTTTTACTTCCTGTAAATAAATAATAGGTAAAAAGAAAGTGTTCGGCTTCGATGATTAAAGATTACTAGAATATTCACCCGTGTTTGCAGCGGTTAATGATAAAATTTTTTATTAAATTTTAAAAAATATAAAATATATATTAAATATTTTGTCTCCAGCAATCAAATCAAACCCAAAAAATATAAAATATATGTTAAGATAATATTTATTTGATTTTTTCAAATTGATCCCATCAATTTATTTCCTTTTTATAATATGGAAAAAAAAAGACAGCATAACCAATACTATTTCGTTCTACTGCCTCCATAACCAATAACATTGGTTCTCTTACTTTTTTTTTCTTTTATTTAATTTTTTTATACATTAAAAAATAAATAAATTGATGGGCTATTTTTATATTGTATAAAAGTTAGGTGATGATAATTTTTTTATTTGAGTTTAGGTTGAATTTTCTTATTAAAGTATATTTATTTTTGTGTTTCAAAAATACTTTTCAAAAAATATGAATTTTTTTTATTTTTTCTTAATTCAAACTAATATTTTTTTATGTTTTTATATTATTTTGATGTGATTGAAAATGAAATAGGTTCCTAAAACTTCTCTGTCCGGCCAATCCAATAGCATTGGTTCTGGATTGGAAATATCTTAAAAGGAAAACAAATTTAAGGGAAGGAAATTAGTTGTTAGTATAGTAGGCGCTGCTCTACTATGCGTTATTCATGGTGTTATTGTAGAAAATATTTTATTTGAAGATGGTAATAATGTAAATACTTTCTGTACTTTTAATCCAACTCAAATATTTTTATATTTAAAAAAAAATTATTATTGACTTGCTGCGAAGTGCGACCCAATATGTTAGTTATCATATTATTACGTAAGGATTATTTAAAAAAAACATATATTAAAATAATATTTTTTTAATTTATTAAAAAAATAAATAAATAAACTTTACAGCCAAACCTAATAGACTTCATAGAAAGAGCCACTATGATTCGATCTAGCTCCTTAACCAGACCCAAGGTTGTGGTCTAGCCGACTTTATTGGGTCTGGTTGCAGAGCCAGACCCAATCACATTGGCTCTTTCTGCTGAGCCAGTTGGGTGTGGCTTCATAGCCAAATCCAAGGATATTTTTTTTATATATTTTTTTTTTTGGTGTGGTTATAGTGCGTATAGCCAAATCCAAGGATATTTTTTATATATATTATTTTTTTTTTTGGTGTGGTTATAGTGCTAGACCGCAATCAAATCCAATAATATTTTTTTGACTAAAAATAAAATTTTTAAAATATTATAATGTCAATAATATTTTTTTGACTAAAAATAATAAAAATAAAATTTTTAAAATATTATAATGTTATTTATAGTATAAACACTTTATGTTTATAGTATGATGCACAATATAATAAATATATATGTCCATCGTAATTGACTGTTTTTCCATGCCTTTTAAGATGCAGTAATAAAGTATAATATTATTAATGTTAATATATACTGTAGCAACTGGTAGTCAGATTCTCTAGGAGCAAAACATTCATAAGTAGAGAAGGAGCAGGGGGGATTGTTGAAACTTCTCACGTATTAACCGACATTCTTAATTTTAATTTTACAAAACTTTTATCACCGTTTGTCATCAAGTATGTATAACAGTTTTGATCATCAAATTAAAATCTTGAGTTTTAATTTTTCAGTATGAAATTGTTAACCTTTTATATAAATACTAAAATCTAGTGAATCATGGGTTTAAGAATAGGAGGCTATCTTATTAAAGTGTATCTTTTTCTCTACCTATGATTTTTTTTTTTCAAAAAGAGAGAGAGAGAGAGAGAGATATTTCTTATTAATAAAAAGAAGTTAGCCACATAGATTGTGGCTAGCCAAGATAAGGCACAACTCATGATGAAACATAAGAGAATTGCATTTGTAGAGGCTAAAAACTAGATAATATAACCTATATTTCTTAGATTTTTTTCTTATAATAATCAAAGTTTTACTAATTGCTCAGAAGACCATTAAGTCAATGGAATTCTAAAATAGAATACAATGATAAAAACCATGAAGCAATACATAAAAAGTAAGAATATCTGTCACTAACAAATTAAACTTTAGGTGTTAATAAAGTTGAATAGAAAATCATGCTTGTTAATATAAGGCTATGCATTACGAGAAAGTCTCATGCACCACCACCTTTGGTGAATCCTGCAACAATCCAAGAGAATGGTCTCCCACGTTGCTATGCTCAAGTGTTCATAGCAGAAACCATTGATCATGATTTCTTCTGGTTCTTCCTTTTTCCTGTGCTTCTCTGGATGTAAGGCGACTACAGCACCACGTAATGTGATATTCCTTAAGCATGACATGGAAATCAATTGAGATCAAGTTGTTTCCTGTAGATGGGACACATATGCTGAAAGCCTTTGAATCTTGATTCCGTAATTTAATGCTTTGGATCATAAATTAGCAAATGCCCACCACTGCAGAATGGGGGCCGAGTGATCAGAGGTGGAAAATTAAACATCTCTCATGCAATTCCCATCATTTCATGAAATCATCTCCTCGGTAGTCGATTGTATCATTATGATTGTCCAACTACTTTCTGAACAACGCTTACATTGAGCAAGGTGTCCCATTAATTCTTCATCAATACGTTTGATGCAGGGCATCGGTGGCATTGATCTACCGCTTTTAAATTGTTTGATGGAACCTGGCTGGAGTGTCAGAAAGCCATCGGTGAAGATGGGTAGGTAAGATATATGGCTATGACCTCTTAAATGATTTAAAATATGTTAATATTAAAATTTTATCGGTTAATTAAAAAGTATTTTCTTATTTAATAACCGTATACTTGATGAATGTGTGATATATGAAGAGTTTATTTAGAAAATTAATATTCTCTTTGTCCCATAACTATTTGTTTCATTCCTCCAGAAAAATATATATGAAAATAATTGAGGGTTAGAAAAGAAACGCGGTTTTCTTCATCAATTTACGTTCATAACTTATTCTCTCAAAGAGTTTGCTATGAATCCAAGTACACAGTACTCTTTAATACTTTGAATGTGAAAACCATAAAGTTTTAAAATTAAGGGCATTATAATTTATATTTTTTTTTATTGTGTTTTTGTTTACAATCTAAAGAATTGAATTGCTTATATGTAGTATATAGTACTTCCGAAATTCATATTTTCTATTTAATGACTATTACTTCTTCTAATTTCTTATGAACCCTAGATTTTAAATGAGAAATTTTATTTTATTCTTCCAATTTCTATTATTCAAATTTATATATGAATGTTTTCTGGAGAATATCATCATTTATATTTCCATAACTGATGATGAATTAAGTTTGAGTATTGTTTTGTGTAAGTGCTTGAATCTGTACATGTGATCAGCTTAAAGAGATTTTATTATGAAGAAGTAGTCATGAATGTACGTGGTTGGTTCATCACTTCATATGATTCAGTGAGATAGCACACAATAATTTTCTGAAGAAGCAGTTTGCTACATTCATATCTTATGTAAAAATTGGATCAAGAATTTATATTGCTAAAATCAAGAGCTGTCTCTTTGAAGAGAATGAAAATATTGTTGGACAAAGTATTACAGGATGAGTAGGCATATGTTCTCACGAAAGCTACATTGAGATAGGTATATACAACAACAACTTAATTAACGAGCTGGAAAGGATATTGGCATTAATTGTATTGCTATTAATGCAAGATTTATATGATTTATTTATTAGTAATATGTCATGTAACAAATTAGTTAGATACCCATATTGATTTTTATTCATATAAAATATATTTATTATTAATAAAAAACTTTTTTTATTTTTAATATTTATATATATTTGATTAATAAATCTAATATTTAATTAATGAATCCAGTGTAAAGGAAATTATATAGTAGTTATAATTATAAGATTTTTATTATATCAAAACATTGTTTCTAAATATTTCTAATCAATGTTTTATTAATGTTTTATTAAGACTAAACTTTAAATAAAGTTGTTGAGATTAATGTATATTATTTTTATTTTTTTATGAAAGAAAGTATATACTCTCATAAACAGAGGTATAATGGATATTTAGAACTAATATGTAGGTATTTATCACATGTCATGTATAAGTAACTGACTTGTAAAAAAAATTTATATGAAAAGATCACTTATATCTATGTAAAGATTCTCGTGATAGTTGTGTAAATTATTTTTAAATTTGATATCACTAAGTTATCTCATATAAAAAGTGTTATACTTTAATTTTGAACAACCACATGTTATCCTAATTAGCACAACTTGATTTTTGAATTCATGACCAACACATAGTCTAGATCTTCTCTTAGGTTTTCATACCTATGTAAACTCAAAATCATATACAAAATTTTTCACCTATATAAACAATACAGAGATTTATGCAACATGATAATATAACTAATTCCCTAATATAAATTGATTATCATACTACAAAAGTGAATATAAATATCATAGTTGCGGAATATTAACTAAATATAAAGAAAAGGTACTAATTATAATAAAAAAAAGTTTTGAAGGTCCAAAAAATATATTATGCTAACAATCTATAAGCCTTAAAAAAGATTAATGAGAAGGTGAGTTCAATAACTCAGTAAATAGATAACATTTAATATACGTATACGAGGTAATACAAAAATAAAAAATATATATGTCATAACCTAATTTTTGAATTTTTTAAATAATAAAAATAAATAAATAAATAATAAATGACAAAAAAATGAATGGATAAAAAAATAATTTGTGGATTGGGTTAAGACAACAAAAAATAAAAGTTTGAGGACTAATAAGTATGAAATTATAAAAATTAATAAGTTTAAAGATTTAATCAAACTTTAATTTAATTAATGCAATCAAGGGCTTAATTAAAAAAATACCAAAGTTTGGGGTTGATTTGGGTTAAAATTGTA